CAGTAAGAAAAAAAAAAAAAAAAAAAAAAACTGAATTGCTAGCCAGAGAAGAGCGGTTAAACGTGCCTCATTATGCCCACCACCCTACTTCATGTAGACATTTTTGGTAACTTATTAACAAGCCTAAGGCTAGGAGTCAAACTTGCAGGTCCTCAATTTACTTAACCAATCACTTGAATCTGGGTATATGGTGGCTTGTCTCTGATTAACAGACTTATCTTAAAACATTCCAAGCCTTTAGACAAAACAAAGCTTCATTTCTTTAACCAATTATATACAAATCAAAGAGTTTTTTTTCTTTTTTGAGACAGAACCTCAAGCTGTCGTCCTGGGTAGAGTGCTTTGACATCACAGCTCACAGCAACCTCCAACTCCTGGCTCAAGCGATTCTCTTGCCTCAGCCTCCCAATTAGCTGGGACTACAAGCGCCAGCCACAACACCTGACTATTTTTGCAGGCGGTTGCAGCTGTCGTTGTTAGGCAGGCCAGGGCTGGATTCGAACCCGCCAGCTCAGGTGAATGTGGCTGGCGCCTTAGCTGCTGGAGCCACAAGCGCCCAGCCCAAATCAAAGAGCCTTTAAATCCACCAAGAACCTGTAAGCCCCCCTGCTTTGAGATGTCCCACCCTTTGGGGCAAAACAACAGAAGCCTTCCATGTACTGATTTATGACTTTGTGTATAAAATCTTGTCCCCCTGAAATGTCAGCCTAGCTCACAGCAAACTAAAACTCCTGAACCAAAGCAATTCTTGTAGTTTAGCCTCCAGAGTACTTGGAACTACAGGAGTGCACCACCACACTTGACTAATTTTTCTAGTTTTAGTAGAGACAAGGTCTCACTTTGCTCAGTCTTACCTCTGGACAATTTTTTTTTTCCTAGACAGAGTCTCACTCTGTCCCCCCCTGGTAGAGTGCTATGGCGTCATAGCTCGCAGCAACCTCGAACTCTTAGGCTCAAGTGATACTCTTGCCTCAGTTTTTCATTTTTATAGTAGAGATGGGATCTCACTCTTGCTCAGGCTGGTCTCAGATTCCCAAGCTCAAGCAATCCACCTGCCTCAGTTTCTCAGAGTAAGACCTCTGGACAATTTTTAAAGCCCAGACTGACATGCACCCTACCTAAACCCTCCAAAATGTGCTCTGAGAATGAAAATTCGCTCTAATCTTAAATTATGCAAAATATTATTAGGAAGAGAAATTTACTGCCCTCCCCGCCAAAAGCCAAATATAAATGAGTTTTTTGTTTTTGATTTTTGATTTTGTTTGTCTGAAGCATGCTTCTCACCTGTTAATGAGTGTAATTGGAAGTTGCTCATCAAAGTGTTCGAGATAAATGTGCTTTCTGGTTGGTGGAGGTACAATAAGTGCTTGGTTGTTGGAGGACGCTTTCCAACCACTTTTTGCATCCACCTAAAGCTGGAAAAGAGATTAACAATGACTTAAATACTACATACTTCACACTTCTGGTTAGAATTCACCCTCCATAAAACAAAGTACCTGTTTGAATGCATATTTAGGAAAGAAACTAAACCGTGGTCATGTGTGAGCTTCTCCATGTGTTTGACATGGCACTTTGGGAGCAAGATTATTCCTCAAGGCCAGGTTCCCCCATCTTCTGTGTACTTGTCACTGCAGCAGAGGAAAGCACAATTTGAGATCTCTGCATGCCTCTCCCCTAAAACCCTGTTCCCTTCACCTGCCTTCAGGGAGCCACCTGGACGCCAGATGCGGGTTGGCCTTACCTTTAACATGTCCTGGCATCAGGCACAGCCCCAAGGCATCATGGAGTAGGAAACTGGATCTCCCCTCAACCCAAGTTGGGGGCAGGGGTGGCAACTAGGCTTGCAACTATGATGGAACCAATGCCCTTTCCCCTCTTGGAGAAAAAGTCAGCTCAGCCAGGCTAGACTATGGGAATTCAAGGTGTGTGTGTGGGGGGTCCTCTTGGACGAATGTGGATCTGGAATGAAGTTGCACAATAGCTCACACTCTGTGAACTGTTTCAGGCAGAGCCAACTGCTCTACTAGCAGGTGGTCCCCCTTGCCAGCCCCGCTTTCTGCCCACAGCTCCCACTCTCAGCTTTTGTTCAAACCTAAGTTCTTCCTGGTTACCTCTCAGGCTTTCCTGGTCAGAGCTCCGCTCAGTTCTTTCCCATTATCAGAGTGCCCCCAAGTTCCCACCTCCTTTGAAACCAGTGCCTCCATCCCATCCTTCTCAGGCCTTTGTCACTGTCAAGCCATGCCAGGCTTGTACCCTAGGCTGTCTGGGGGCCTCCACGGACATCTCCTTCAAGCCAGGCAGCCCCAGTGGCTCTACACTGCCCTCTTGGTAACGAGGATCTCCAGGCAGCAGCTCTCAGCTTTCCCCCCTGGCCAAGCTCCTTCTCCCCAGCCAGCCCTGGCCACAGCAGTCCCTGGGCTTTTGCTCCACCCTCCCTGTTACTTAAGACAGTTCCAGACTTCTGACTTCTGGGCCAAAGACTTATTACCACATTTGCCTCCGCTTTGCCCAGCCCTCTAAGAGCCAGATTCTGGAAACCATTCTCCAAGGCTGGTTTCCCCCACAGCAAGCAAGGCGTTGGTGGCAGCCTGCTTCACGCCCATCCCTGTCCCCAGCTCTCAACACTCAGCAGCAGCATCTCTTGGCACAGGGAGCCTCCCACTCTCCTTCACTGCGCCCTCCCACCCCAGCCTCAGGGGCGACCATTTTCCTTGTGTTAGGTGACTTCTCAAGGTAGGCCTGAGTGGGAAGTTTTTCCAAAAAGGCTCCTGGCCTCTTCCTCTCTCTGCCTACTCTTTTCTTTTGTCACACACACACACACACACACACACACACACACACACCCACCCCAGCCCTCTCTGTCCATTTGCAGCAGCTTGGAACCCCTGGCTGGCTGGGCTTCCATGTTCCTCTTCTGCTGATGCACGTGGACAATGCGTGGCCACGTGCCCTGCCGCGTGGCTGCAGTCTGAGGACCTCCTGGAAGCACAGAATCAAATTCCATTCCAGAGTGCTCTGGAACCTGTACCCGAAAGACACCCCCTCCATCCATCCCCACAACACCCTCCTCCAGCTGTCACGCGGTTGCTGTTTTCCTGAAGCTCGGGAGATGCCTGCCTGTGAGCAGGAGGCTTAGTTTGGGGAAAGAGAAACCTCCATTCTGGTTCTTAGGAGAGCTACACACAGCAGACTCCCTGGCCAGTCTCACCACCCTCCTCTTCCCGGGGCTCTGAAAGTCCCTCCTCAGAGTTTGTCCACCCCAGGCCAACCCCTCTGAGCCCCTCCTCCAGCCCACATACTCCCTTAGCTTCACAGGCAGCTTTGCCCTTCACCTCTTTGCAGGCCACTAAGGGCTCTTTCATTGCACCCCTCTCCTTTACAGACCTGACCCCACAGGCCTTGTGAAAATAACTCCACCACCCTGCTCCCAGCAGTATGCAGTCTGGGCCATGAGGCATCCTCACCCCACACTGGGGGCTCAGAACCAGTCATGAGCAAAAGCAGAAACATTTCAAGATGTGGAGCCCTGGCAGGGTGAAGGAGCCAAATCTGGGAAGCCAGAGTCTCTCGACTTCCCAGCCTAGGGATTAGGGGATCATCAGGTCCCCACAAGGAGATGGGAACCTTCTGGTACTTTGCATAAGCAGCCCCTCAGCTTGAAACACTCTTCTTCTTCCAAACCCCTTCACCAGGAAAATGCATATTGATCATTCAACTGGAAGCCTAGGTACCACTACCTCCAAGAAGCCTTCCATGATCACCCTTGTCAAGTCCAGGTTTCCTGTTGTTCCTGTGCTCCTCTAATAATACCAGTCCCAGTGCTGCATAAATGGGTCTGTCACTCTCCCTGACCATGCTGAGAACTCCCTATGGAAAGGATGATGCTTATTCAAAAGGCCATTTTTCACGCTTCCAGTGCCTGTAGCCTAGTGCACAAACAGGCACTCGACAGATACTCAATAAATGCTTGATGGATGAATGAGTATTTGGGGGAGGTTGGGGAGAGAGATAACACCACCAGTGGCTACTCAGTTGCTGTCCAGA